TATAAATACTTAAGCTTTCTGCTAAATATGGTAAAACAAAGCAACACTGTCCGAAAGTAGAATTACAATCGGGCAATAACGCAAAGAGACGTCGATGGTTTCTTCTCGAGACATGTTCGAGAGAATTCGATGAGAGGAAAAACACCGTATTATTTGTTATTCCTTCTGTTTGTCGTTGGTGAGTCGGAGGTAAAGTCGAAAAGTCACGCGGTGAAATCGACAACAACCAACGGCAATCAGGACAGACTCCGTATAGCGGAGTGCTCCGAGCACGTGCGCTTCCATCACGTGACGCCTCATCCACCAACCCCGTCACGGAAATCGTCGTGGAGACGTGACGTAACGAACTCCGGCCCTATGCAACGCGACTCTACGCGATGACCGCTAATTCTTTCAAAGGAAGCGAGTCCATTGGTCTGATGGATGAGACGTCACACCGTTTCCGAACTTATAAATAAATGTAGCGCGGTAATGGGGGAGAACTTGTTCGCTCTCGCTCGCAATAGACACCGTCGTCTCTCGTAAAGCAAGTTGTCGCGAATCTGAAACGGGAACTGTGATTATTCGAGAACTTTATTGTAGACTCTCTGTGAAAATAAACTTATTGTTATTAAAATAAGAACTCTGTCGAGATACAAAACCGATCCTCCCGTTCCTGACCAACCATCGCGCGCGCTCAAACATTTTGGTCCTTCGAGCCGGATATCGGGTTCCGCGTCCGTGTACGGTCTGTGAGTGCGTGCTCCGGTCAGCTCCAGTAAACCTGCGGAGCAATCGGCGAAATGAGTCTCGACATGAATGCTCTCCTCATGAGACAGCAAGAGTTACTCACCCGTGTATCCCGAGCAACGGAAAACACGAGAAAGTTGGGCAAATCCAACGTTACTCGAGGCATCCTTGAAGCTCGCATTAAAACGCTGGACTCCAACTGGGAGAAATTTCAAGCCCAACATGAGATTCTCTGCACGCGATTCTTCGCTGAACTCAGCGAAACCGAGTACTTCACAACGGATCTGTATGAAACCACAGAGAATGCTTACGTTATGCAATGGGGCACCCTGACTGACTGGGCAACCTGCCTGACGCAAACGGAGGGA